CTTTTAGTACGGTGCACCTTATGGTCGTGAAAATACGGTATGTGCTTTTGCTAGTGTAGAAACTGAAGCTCTGTGGAGTTATTCAATTGGTCCATTAATTTAGCTCTATTGTAAACTAGTCAGATTTAAAGGCTAATGCGCAGAGACAGCATTAAAGTACATGGCATCATGCATGCACAATTTGCAAATAGAAAATTACTATAGCATTAACAGACATGATTGTAATTGAGTCTTGATGTATATTCTTAATATTATATGTAAAATGTAATTACCATAACAATGTATTAAATACATGTGTATTACATGTATGTACATCATTAATTTAGCACTTTTGGCACATCTGTATTATTCTTCATTAATACATTAATTTTATTGTGATGGATTTCTCTAAATCATGTAATATAAAATATTACATGATTTAGAGACTTCATAATGACTATGCAATGTGGTGGGCCTATTGTTTTAATAAAAGTGAACGTAAACTACTGATGCTATGAAACAGCCGGTGCGTGTCAAAGTGATGAATTTATCTTTATTTCAAAAGTCTTAAGTCCCCCTGAAAATGAGAACATCATCGCTGTTCGATGCTATATTGCTTACATTGCCACCGCTCTAACTAGGGAGTACCAATATGGCGGCGGTGGCTTTACTTCAACCCCGTACTACAAACGGACAATCAGCAATCCAGTGAATAAATAGAGTGTTTAGGTTCCATCTCTTCCTCAACACAGCTGACTCCAATATGAGCTCGTTATCAGCGCTGGCAGCTGCAGGTGAGCTAGCTTAGCCATTTGACTCAGGTGTGTAAGACAAGGGACAGAGCTAGAACCTACAGGACACCATCCCTTCAGGGGATTACGTTTGGTTATTAGGAGGAATGCTTGATATGTATTGCTCTATTTTAACATGAACATATGGTTGTTTTTGTTTTGTAAATCAGCATAATGTTTCATTGGGTCCCTTTAAAAAATTTTGGTGCTAATGGTGTTTATGTTGTGAAATAAACTACTTTAGCTTTTCAAGCAGAAAAATGTGACCAAGTGTTGCCAACATTGTCAAATCATTAAAAATATGCAGAACATTTATTTTTATTATCCTTGCATTCTTCTGTATGTCTGATTTCATGCATCATGTGCTCAGGTTAAGAAGCCAGTTTCTGTTTCCAAGACCAACAAGGAACGTCTTTCACAGTTTCGCTGCAGATTAAAGCATTTTTTACGCTTAAACGGTTTGAAAAGCTGCATTGTTCCAGAAATGAGTTGTTTAACAGAGAACCTACCACCTCCAGCTCCATGTTGTAATGTCCTGCATAGATGGCTACGCTCGGTGCTGTAGGGAAGACTCCGTAGAGGAAAGCAAAGTTGGATAAGCTGGTGTGGTTCGGGCTCGTGCTGTTCACCCCGACGTCCAGAATGTCCACCATGTCTTTGCAGACCAGTGGCATTACCAGGCTGGAAGGGGCAAGCAAGGACCAGCAATCAGTTTCACTCTGAAATACTAAATACTTAAACTTGATACACTTAAAAGCCTGGTCTTAGGTTCCCAAACATTTTAGCTTTTTTTTTTTAGCTGAAAAAGTGAACATATGGTAAGGAGACACAAGTTTAAGCAAATTTCCCTTTAACTAAAGAAAAATAACATCTCAAAATAAAACCTTTAATTGTTTATTCAATAGGAAAAAGAAAACCTGCATTCATACATAATAAATTGCTGACAAATCCCTTAAAAATATATGTTTCAGTTCAATCAATTCTCAATGCCCAACCACAGCCAGGGGTGCTATTGCTTTCTTCGACGGATTTCGCCTGTTACTTCTTATAGACTAAATTGCTTTTCACTATAAAAGCTAATAAAACAAGAAGCTGAAAACACAATTAGGAAAGCAAAATATATAAAACCTTACACTAGGCTTGATACCAAAATCTCCAATGAAAATTCAAAGAATTTTCTGTTGGAGGCAGAATTAGCATCTACCCTGATTAGCCTACTCTGAATTGGGATTTCTGTCTTCCCCTCCGAACTGAAACTGTTCAGTTTCTTTTACGAGTTCATATATTTGATTAAGCATATCATATTATCACTAAGCAGTGACATTGAAATTCAGTGGACAAAAACAAGTCGTTCTATTGGCTGGAAAGGTTGCTAGACGTTGATCGAACCAGTGACGGAAAGCAAAAAAACAAATCCACAAGCAGAGAGCTAACGGGTTTGGAGCACATCTAACCCCAAGATTCCACATCATCCGTCAGCGCTCCGCTCCGCTCATGTACGTCATGCGCAGTATTTGTCTGTCGTGTTAATCAATGAGAGCTGTTCCACATCCACCGCTACTTCTCCGCACGTCACCGTCCACATACATAAGAGCATAATTCTTATATATTTCTAAAAAGTAACACCATTTATTTAAAAGACTGGATGCAAACTATTGGTTCTTCAACATACCAGGAAGCAGGTTTCTCATCTCCAACAAATTATTTCTTTTATACGGAGAGGATTAAAAGTTTCATCAAATCGAGTCAAAAGAAACTTCTTATTGCAGGCATGGATGAAAAGATGCTGAGTTTGGTAGTAGAGAACAAACATAGTTCATACAAAAGCAATTTTGTATGATCCTAGTTAAACCTGTTACAAAGATCCACAACAAGAAGAAAATATTTGGGCAGAAACTGCACATATGCTGGATACTGATGGGGATTTTTAAATATTTCATAAGAAATTAAGCGTTCATTTCTGCATGTTTTCCTCCTACGAATTTAATAATAATAATACAGTCGCGCATGCTCTCCTTGAGCTCCGAGGAAGTGGAGCAGGACGGGAGGAACAGCGGAGGCTGCAGGCTTTGCTTTGCGTGTAGGTCTGGAGTGGAGCGGGTCGGACCAAAGGATGCAGGATTTCTGTGTCAGACTAGAGCAAAGATTTGCTTTTGCTCAAGGAGATAATATTTGTACAAAAAGAATTAGATCAGAGAAAAGAAACGAAGCATTAAAAGTGAAAATCCTGCTATCCTGATAATGTGTCTCTTGGTTTTTGGCAGGAAAAGTCCTTCATACTACAGATCATTCATCAACCAAATGGAGCCAATGTATTGGTGCACCTCACTCAGAATATCACTAGACCTTAAGCTAACATAAGTCCTGACTTACAGTTTGGCTGTAATGAGAAGAATCAGAGCCACTCCAGCGTCTCTGGTGAGTTTTCTGAGCTGGCCCACCTGCATCACAGACACACATATTATTCAGTAACATTTAGTCTTTTAGAAAAAAAGAAAAAAAGGTAAACTCTGCTTTCTCACCATAGTGAGGCCAAGATAAAACAGCGCCGCTCCTCCAAAAGAGTTGGCCAGACCGTCTATAAACTCCGACAGAACGGCAGGAATCCTTTCCCCCAAAGCGAAATGGGAAATGATTCCCACCATCACCATGAACACGATTGGATTCTTTAACACCTTCAGAGATGACAGCCAGAATCGTCAAAATCCACCAACGTTTAATTCCTCACCAACCTCAGCCTGAAACCTTTACCTGTAAAAATACAACTCCCAGGATGCTGAGGCTGCTGCGCTGTGGATGGCTGGCCTGCCTCCACTTCTGCACCTCGCACAGAGCGAAGCCGATGGGATTGAGGAGCATGAGGGAAACAGGGGCGACTAGGTAGATGTACTGGAGGTACTCTGGATATGTGCTTCTATATAAAGCATCAACTGGAGGACAAGATACAGAAAGACTTTAAATATTTCAGCTCAAACCTTTTAAATCCCAACGCCAGGTGAGTTTTTACCTATTGGGTATCCCAAGGCGAAGTCGTTGCTCTGAGTAGCGAAGATGGCGTACAGACCGGCCTTGCTGTACCTGTTGTCTGGACCCGCCACCATCAGCGTCAGCACACACACCAGCACAAACACCGTCACCTGCATTAAATCAGGATTAAGTTACTCTGGCCTGATAATCACAAACAACACAAATGAAGTATGGTTTGCAGAGTTCATTAACCTTTGCAACCAGAACGCTCCAAAGAAAAGCCCAGATGACGTCTTCAAAGTCCAGCAGCACCATGTTTTTAAAGAGCAGAGCCGGAAGAGCAAATTTAGAGACAAAGTTCCCCAAACCTTTCGCCTGGTTCTCTGTGATCATGTCGGCTCTGCAGGGGAAATAAAAAAGTGTTAATGTACTAAATCCAAATGCATTGATGGGTCAGTGAGGCGCCTCTCCTACCGGCCAGCGATGTAGCCACACAGGATGATGCCGAAGCACTCCAGGAGGGCTGGAAACAGCTTGTCAATGGACATGTGGGGCGCCGCAGCGGCCAGGGGACCGTGGGAGATGTTCTTCCCGTGGATAAACACATAGTTGTTTGGAGTCTCCATGGCGACAATGGGATGAGATTCAGAGGGTTTCTGCAGATAGGTCCAGAGCCTGGTAAAAGCTGTTACAAGATGTTTGGAAGAAAACTGAGTATTATAGTTGGCTAGAATAATCACTCATATTCATTATTTTTCCTCTAAAGTATTTACATTTGTGTTTTTTTGTGTGTTTGTTTTTATAACAAATAAATCATTTGAGCGGATCAGCTAAATTAAATCACACAACCTCTCCCCATCATTACCTAACATGCTTACATTGACATAAACTAATGAATAAACACCTGATTAGTGCGGGTAGTGAGTGTGGATCGACAACACTCACGGTTCAGTAAAGGTTGTTGAATCACTTCACAGCAGCGGGGAAATTGGACCCATGTGATCTGGGATAACAGTAGCATGACGTTTGTAGGTTTGGAAGTCATTTTTTTGTGTTAGTACATTTTAATTCAAAACTCATATTGAGAGTCAGATTTTGTCTCTCTTAAATCTTTCACAAAGCGTTTGGCTAAAAAGTCACAGACAAAAAGATGCTTAATAAGTGAGAAGGCCTAAAATACTGTGAAAATCTAATTGAAGTGCTATTCTAAGAGCTCATGCTAAATGGCGAACAAATAACGTTTTTTTTTTTCTGGTCATTTAACACCGATTTTTACACCAGTCAGCATTCTATATCCTGAGAAAGTTTTTTTTTTTTTTTGGTGCTTTGTGACATCTATTGCACCTTCTAAAACACAGTTTTGTTAAATATAGCAAGACCCTGCCCACATTATTCTTATCCAGTTAATTTAAACTCCAGCCAACCAATTAGAAAACTAGAACTGCAGACAGAAACCCCACTAATTCATAGCCAAAACGCTGAGAAGATATCTGATGTTTGTTTTACTGGTAGATCACTGGTGGATTGTATATATTCTGCAACACTCACTCTACGTGTTTGCTTCTGCAATCATCTCTCAAAGAAGTCGTAAAATTACAAGAATAAAGTTGCACTGAGAATAGTGATAAAATGACAATAAAGTTGTAACATTATGAGAAATAAGTAGAATTTTATGACAACTCTAAGAAAAAGCGCTTTCTTCCCTAAAATGAGGAATGTCGAGCATCATGTGAAGTTATACTTTGGCTTTGATTTGACAAATAAGTAAATCTTTTAGCACACTAGTATGTTAAATGTGGGCAGTATGTCAAATTATTCTCGTAACATTACAACTTTATTCTCATAATGTTACGACTTTATTCTCGTAATATTACAACTTTATTCTTGTAATGTTATGACGTTATTCTCTTAATGTTACGATTATATTCTTGTAATATTATGACTTTATTCTCATAATATTACGACTTTATTCTCGTAATATTACAACTTTATTCTCGTAATGTTATGACGTTATTCTCTTAATGTTACGATTTTATTCCTGTAATATTATGACTTTATTCTCGTAACATAACTACTTTATTCTCGTAATATTACGACTTTATTCTTATAATGTTACTTTATTCTCGTAATGTAACAACTTTATTCTCGTAATGTTACCACTTTATTCTCGTAATGTTACGACTTTATTCTCGTAATATTACGACTTTATTCTCGTAATGTTACGACTTTATTCTCATAATGTTACAACTTTATTCTCATAATGTTACAACTTTATTCTCATAGTGTTACAACTTTATTTTCGTAATGTTACGACTTAATTCTCGTAATGTTACTTTATTGTAATAATGTTACCACTTAATTCTCGTAATATTACAACTTTACTCTCATAATGTTATGACATTATTCTTGTAATATTAAAGCTTTATTCTCGTAATATTACGACTTTCTTCTCGTAATGTTACAACTTTATTCTTGTAATGTTATGACGTTATTCTCATAATATTAAAACTTTAATCTCAAAATAAAAAAATAAAATCTCCAGCCGTCATACTGTAGAAAGCACTTTGCAGCATCTGGTGTAAATTTCTGTTTTCAGATATTCTGCTTTGCTGCACTTATTCGCATGTTAACTCATCCAGTGTATTTCACCCATAAATGTTACAAAAAACGCCCTTATTGTCTGTTTAAACTGTAAAGAAGCAGACAATACAGCCGTGGGAACTGAATATCCCTTGAACGAATCATTTTAGTGAACTACTGTAACTGTAGAGAATCGGTACATTGCAAAGACTTCTTGTTCCCATTACTAATGGGATGGATTTGGGGGGAACAGAGTGGTGTTTGTCCGCTGATATTCTTGTTACGGCTCTGAATTATCTCCAACCGGGTTTTTAGACGGTTTCTTCCATCGGATTTCAGCTCATCTGGAGCTAAAATAACGGTATAAAAACTAAGCCCACCGCAGTGAGGCATGAAGGGGCGGACAAAGCGACCTGAGGCTCTGTTGGGGCAGCTGACCGTTAGCTCTACCATACCTGCATGCTAAAAACACATCTCAAGGCGCAGTTAACCGAACCCCTACTCAGGTTTAGGCCATTTAAAATGATTTATAGAGCGATAATTTTCCATACCTCTGTTTCACCAGCACTGTGCTACACAGCGGAGCAGCATCCCAGGTCCTTTTTGTTTCCTAAGCTGTTGTTTTTCTGCTGTAAGGGTTGGAGGTCTGTCCCTATCTGACAGCTGCAGCCAGTAGACACGCCCCAACAGCAGACTGACGGAGGCTTAAGCCAATCAGGGCGAGGAACGCGGTCTAGGGGGCGTTTCTAGTTGCTTTACCGAGGAGCACTGTTATTGTGCAGAAATTATTCATTCTGGAGAAATTCAAATGATGTTTTTTAGTTTTCATTCATCGGTTTCATCAATATGTGTGAATAATTCAACAATGCAGGTTTTTTAAGCAACCAGACGCCTCTGAAACCATCAGGGTTTGGACAGATCCAATGTCCAACTGTGGGAACAGACCCCATTCTATGAAGTTTGTGTTTCAAAACTATTTGTGCAGTGTAAGTGTGAATTTAAAAATGTAGAGAGAGTTACAGTCTAAGTTTTGTATTTGTAAAATAAAAAAAAAAAAATTCACGAAGACACATTTTTTTTACAGGTTGTTCAAAATTTAAAGTGCAAGTAGACAAATTCTATTCTACAAGTTGCACATCAAAAACATCTCACATTCTCAGTTTTGCTCCAAATGATTCAGAATTTTTGTTGCAAAACAATTTGGGAATTTTAACTTAGGTGTTTTTTATCTAGATTCTTTTTAAATCTGTCACATTGCAAGAAAAACTTACACCTCCTCATGTTGATGTATACAAGTACACAAACCATGTTCTGCAAGTTGCACATCAAAAATGTCTTCCACTCAGTTTTACTACAGTTGATCTAAAGCAAATGGCCTACTGCCATGTTGCCTTCTGTCGGTAATCCCTGCGAGATTTGTAATTGTGACAGTTTATTAAAAAATCTACAATTACAAATCACCAAAGTTACATCGCACACATAGTTTTGCAACAATAGTTCTGGACCATTTGGAGCAAAACAGAGAATGGAAGAGGTTTTTGATGTGCAGCTTGTAGAACTGAATTTGTGTACTTGTACACAAATTAATTCTACAAATAAGAAACTAAAGACTGTAACCCTTTCTACAACTTTAATAATAGAGGTAATATTTTTACTTTCATTCTTATAAGAGATATTGCCCCATTTAACATGAATTTATTTAATGACAGCAGAAGAATACATCTTTTAAAGACTTACTATATGTTTTATTAAGTTGACGCAGGGGTGCCACCAGAAATTTGGGGCCCCATGAAAGACATTGATATCCCCACCCAAAAAAAAATTATGCAACCTTAAAAAGTGCTATCAGGATGCACTGAAGAGTATCATTTACATTTTCAATGTAATTTTTATGACCCAGCCAACATGTTGGAGTCTGGAACTCCTTTTTTTAACCAGGGAAGTTTTATTTTTGTCGCACAAAAACAAGCCCACATCATTACGTTTACCCCCTTATGCTTAACAGCTGGTAAAATATGTGTTGTTCAGTTTCTACCAGACATGGCGTGGGATTTATGGTAAAATTATCTACTTATGTCTAATCCAATCAAAGGATATCATATAAGTCTCACAATTCAGCTTTGAAATAGTCCAGAACCATCTCCACAGGAATATTTGCTTCCAGTAGAACAGACCATTTCTCTAAGGTCATTTCTGATTTTTATCCATTTTGCTGGTGCAATTCATAGCTGTATGCTTCAGACCACAATCTGCCAGTACGTTTCTAGAAGTTGGTGTTTAAACTCATTATCATTAATCAGAAGTAATTACATACAGATACACAATTGGAACCTTCATTTCTCCAGTTGCCAGTAATATTTCATAAACAATCCTTCTAAAATAGGTTAAACAAAATTCCACACTTTGGTATACATTTAATGTCCTTTTTATTGCACAGTTATGTAAATGAATAATATGGTTTATGTGATAAAATCTGGTTTATCTTGTAGACACCTCAGTTCACCGTGTCCTATCCGTTTCCAAAAGTCATATTGCTTAGGAAACTGATGCATAACTCAATAAAATCCCCCTGCCCTCCTTTTAACTCAAAGTATTTTTAAGTAAAGCATTTTTAAGCCTTTTTTAAAGTAAATAGTTTAACTATTGTACGATTGCCTTACAGAAATATTTAACAAAAAAACAAAGCAGAACATAAAAGCAAACCTAATACTGCAATCATAACTTATCCCATAATCCAGTATCAGCTGGTTAAATCATAGATACATCCACTGACTCTCTGCTGTGCATCAAGAGAACTTAAAAAAACAGCAACACAATATTCAGCATGACTGCACATGGATGCTGCAATAACCCCACGGAAATGTCCTTTAAAGCACATCGAGCTGAACATCCTTGCATAATCAATTATAACGTACCGCTAAGAGGTTCCAGCAGAGAAAAACTGGTGGAAAAAAAAAAAGGAAAGTCTACATTCGTGCTGTGAAGGCACACATGGCTTTGGCATAGAAAGCATGCATCTTCTGAAAGGCTGAGACAGCTTAAAGACCATCTTTTGTACTGTTGCTGTATCTAAGGCACCTTGATTGTTGATCTGAAATGTTCAGACAGTTATACAGCATTTAATTCTACTGTTTCAACCAAAAAGAACATCTTGATATAAACAAGGTAATTCCCTTTATGAGAGCACAAAGATCAGTATCTTTGTTCTTCTCAAAAGGCTTGGCTTTTTTATAAAACTATAAAAATATACAAATCAGTTGTGGTATTGCCTGAAAAAAAGGAAATGGGCTAAATTTTATTTGATTAAGAAAACAAAAAAACAAAAAAAACAAACAGATAAGATGGATCTGATTTTGAGCATTTTGACACCAAACACATCCTCCAGAAATAGCATGGTTGTAAACTTTAAAAATAAAGAAAGCATTTTCTCCAGAACACAGTTGTACCACAATATATAAACAGTTTTGGCTCCTTGCAGATCCCCAGTTCCCTGCTGCAGAGCCACATGATGTAAACTCCACAAGACTGAAGGTCCTTTTTTCCCCTCTTTTGCGATTCTCACATGATCGACATGCATGTGGTCAAAGAGCAATGAGCGTAACTGAGAAATAGGAAGAAAAGAAGAGGTGGTAGGACCAAGTGTTGTGATGGAGGCCATCTTTTCTTCACCTGGGTATTGGAGGAAGCGGAGGAGCTCCTCGCTCCTTTTTACCAGGACCTGGAAAAACAGAAAAAAAGAAATTAGTGCTTGCTTGAAGTTTACAATGAATATGTTTGTTCTCCACATCACGCTGCTCCACAAAAAAGAAATTCATACATTTTTTCTCTCTCATTATTTTCAATCTTAGGTACACTGGACATAGAAGTCTACGCATCCTTGTTAACATGCCAGGTTTTTGTGATCAAATAAATAATTTCCAAACATTTTTCTACCATTTTTTCAGGATTATTGAATAGAAAAAACAGAAATCTCCTTAGTGGGAGCCAAAAATAAAATCAAACACTAATATTAGGGATGCACGATATAATCGGCCCCCTATCGGTATCGGCCTGTATCGGCCTTAAAACGGAATATCGGACATCGGCCACCCCACCGATATTTAACCCGATATTTGATCAGCTTCTGAGTTTCTAAAGTCTAAAAAAAAAAAAAAAATACTACTTCTTCTTCTTCCTCAAAAAATTATTTTTTTACAGACTTAAAAACTTCTAAAGACGAGGGAAAAAATATTGATACATTAAAATATCACAATATCTTCATATGCTGATATATTGCCATTTAAAAACACCATATCAATCTCTTTTACTGATGAAATATTGCTATATGTCATCGTTATGCTACGAAATCCCCCGAAAATTCACGAAATGTTGCCATATTTTTATATGTTGATATATTGACGCGGTATCTATCTATTTTACAAAATCTCACAAGAATTTGCAAAATATTGCGAGAGTTTGTAACAGAACGATGAAATTTCACGAGATTTTGAAGGTAAAATAGATCGATACCACGTTTTTAAAAATCTATTTGATATCAGCATATGAAAATATATTTGAGTATATTATTTTTCAAAGTGTCAGAAATGGATAACAAAACTGCTATTTTCAATGACTACTTATTTTTGTCCAGCTTTAACATCGGTATCGATATCGGTTAACGGCTACATGAGTTTTAAAATATCGGCATATCGGATATCAGCCAAAATCCCAATATCGTACATCCCTAACTAATAGATTTACTGGACCAACCCTATATAATTAATATTTAACTGAAACCAGCATGAAGTGGTGAGGTATTTTAAATCAGTTTTAGGAAAAGCACATGTTGACACACCCATGGTGCAGAAGTAACAAAGCCCTCTAAACTCTATGAGTTCCTGAGTTTAGCTTATAAAGCTGTATGGAGCAGAAGCAGGGTCCAACATCCTTGGAGCAATCTTTACTTGGTAAAATGTTAATAAAAAAAAACAATCCTCATTAAGACGTAATGTGCCATACTGAAATTAATCAAATTCTTCAATTTTTTTTTTTTTTTTAGTAAAATGTAGATTTTAAACTTTCTTTTTTGATAAAGCTTATGTTATAGAGCTTCAGGTTACCCTCAGCTATCGCTATAGTTATGCTGCTAGAGCCTTAGACTGCTGGAGGACATACAGACCCCTTTCCTCCCATTCTGCAGTATTTGTTAGTTCAAACCCTCGGTTTATGTCCCTTCTGCTTTTTACACGTCATAGTAGTTTTATTATCTGGCCTATTCCTGATTGGCTTTGACAACATCTTTGAGGGAATTATAAGCTGGGCTGCTGCGACCAGCTACCACTTTCAATTACAAATGATTGTCAGGCTTGTTTTTTGCTGCTTAGTCCTACTTCTTTCCTGGACATTGCTCTAGTGTTTACTGTGACTAACTGCATGTGCTATATTTTATCCCTTTGACATTAAAACTGGCTCAGAGCTCATCTGTTTAACCGTACCTGTCCTAGTTAGAGTCATCCGTGGAGCTAGTTTACTGTTACCTTTCCTAATAAATATTGTTTTTAAAGCTCATTGCTTCTATGCTCCTTTTGAATCTCTGCTTTTCTCTCCTTTAACCTCCAGTGGACCCCAGCAGAAGGTCGCTCACACTGATCCAGGTTCTGCAGGAGGTTTCTTCCTGTTAAATGGCATTTTTTCACCCCTGTCGGTGCATGCATGCTCGGTGCTCATCTCAGAGTAGCGTGTGCTGCAAAGTTAATGACTCGATGCAATCAGCTGGCTTTCCTTAGGTAAAACCTTCCCGGTCTGTTTGTACAATCTGATTGAATTGTCTCTGTAAACTGGGTAGGCATGATGTGAAGCAAACTGGTGCTTTATCAATAAACTAAATTAAAATTGAATTGAATAGAGGGATGCGTATGTGTCGGTTTTGCTGTATGCTGATTTTTAATGGTTATCCCTTGATCTAGAGCATCTTTGGGTTGAACAAGAGTGGAGACTATGAGCCCGGCCTAGCAAGCTAGCAAAAACACTCAAACAGCAGGGCCAATTCAAAATTAAAATGCATTAACAATGGGTGGACATGAAAGAGGGTTAGTGAGGAAGGAAAAAGAACAAGTGAGTCACCTTTGCTCTCATTCTTGGAGATCTTGCTGGGGTAAGTCTTCTGGAAGGGTACATAGGGATCGGGCGGAGGAAAGTCCGACACTGGATGAAAAGTGAATCTGTACTCAAACTCATCTGTTGGAAGAATTAAAACAAAGGTTTAAAGTGAAATTCATCAATAAAACAAGATAGTTGTATGTAGCATGAAATGAATGGAGCCACTGCAAAAAAATTTAATCTAAATAAGTCATTTTTGCTCAAATTAAGTGCATTTTTTCTTGAATTGAGGAGATAAGTGAGACACTTTGCCAATGGAACAAGACAATTTACATTTAAAATAAGAAAAAAAACATTTATTTGTCTTATTTCAAGAGTATATTATCTAATTATCTTGTTTTAGGAGTAAAAATACTCATTCCATTGGCAGATCATCTTATTTACCTGCTCAAATTAAGGGTAAGTACACTTAATTTAAGCCATTTTTACTTATTTCTAGATGTTTTTTGCAGTGCAATCTAGTTGGTATGCTGCAAAAAAAATCGAAATCTAGATAAGTAATTTTTCCCTAAAATAAGTGCATTTGTTCTTGGATTAAGGAGGTAAAAGGGAAATCTTGCCAGTGAAACAAGACAATTCACACTTAAAATAAGAAACAACAATTGCATTGTGTTATTTCAAGTGGAAATTACCTAATTGTCTTATTTTAAGAGTAAAAATACTCTTACTATTCCATTGGCAAACTATCTCATTTACCTACTCAAATTAAGGGTAAATACAATTAATGTAAGAAATGTTTACTTATTTCTAGATCTTTTCTTTCCAGTGTATAAAGCAGCTATGAATGTGATCTAGAACTGTCTGCTGGTTTAGGCAGGACTCTTACGGTCTGTTGGCATTTTTTCTTCCTAAATAAACCTTCCACTTTGGTCGACAAAATAAAAACAATTGAAACAGAGGTCAGAGTATTTCAGCCTTAACTGAAGCATGCAGTAAAACCAACAATGAGGAGCATGGGTACAAGCCTGAAAAAACTGCCCACAGGAATGAACTGGTATCTCCTATGTCTTCCTCAGACTTGGATCACTTTACAGCACCATACAGAAGTATTCACACCCTGAGGTTCTGTTCCTATGTTGTCTCGGTTCAACCACAACACCATGTGAGTTTTACGGGCATTTTATGTGAAATAACACAAACTAACTTTCAATTGGGAAGTAGATGTTTAGGATATGCTATTTATTCAAAGAATCTGAAAAAGGATGTAGTGCAGTGGATTTGGCATCTATGGGTCAATACTTTGTACAACCACCGTGGTTGGAAGTGAAAGCTGCATAGGCTTGTTTTTCAGTTTTTAGTCCTGTTTCACTCCTACACATGGCTTTGTTGTACACTCCACTCTTTTATTTGAACATAAGAACATGAAATAAAAGGAGGTTGAAACCAAAAACAGAGTTAAAAAAGAAAAGTTACTGAATGCGTAAACTATCTTTACAAAATAAAAGCATCACAAAACAACACTACATTGTGAAAAAATAAAATAAATAAATAGATGAATTAAGTAATTAATAATTTTTTTGAATAACTGAAAAATCTTCAAAAATAATAAAATAAAATAAGAAAAAATATTCTAAATTTTTTTTTTCAAGGGGATATTTATTTATTTAATAAAATATTTATTTACAATTCATCAAAAGCAGTATTTATTTTATTTTAAATGAAATGGCTCTCAAGAGTTATTTGGTCCTTAACCCTATTCAAACTATCAATCTTTCTTATTATATTATTATTTATTTGTCTTCCAAACTCATTTAGCACATTGATGGACCTACAGACCTTGCATTTGGTTGTGGTGAGAGTTCTGGAATCCATTTCCTATAGGTGGTGGAGGTGGAAAAGCCCCACCAGGCCCGGGTCTGTCTGGTGGCGGGAGAGGTCGCCCCCCAGGCCCTCCACGAGGAGGCTCCGGCCCTGGCCGACCGACAGGAGGCGGTGCAGGCGATGACCTGATGCTGCCTCCGCCCATGTTGCGACCTGAAGGAGGCGGAGGAGGAAGAGGACCTTTGGAGGCAGAAGGAACATCATTGAGGAACTTTCATTCAACGTAATATTAAGAACTCAGCTTTGAAACATATTTTATTCATTCTTTGAAAAGAAGTGGTCGTCTGTTTGAGTAATCAGTAATCAGCAAAGGCTGGTTGGTTACCTGAGCGTGGAGAGGGCTGGTTCCTTCCAACAGACGGCGGTCTCTCATTTGGAGGAGGAGGGAGGGGTCCTGATCGGCCAGGAGGGGGAGCCGGAGCATGGCTGGAGAAAATAAATGAATTTTATTCTTTACTTCCATGATGCATCAAAATATGGTTTATAAGTAAAATGTTTTTTCATTTATGAAAAATCTTCCTAGTTTTTTTCTAAAAGGAACAAAATGTTAATAAACCAACAAAATTAAGCTCATTGTAGAAATGTGTGTCCAACCTCACCTCTAACCTCTTAATCAGATATTTCAGCTTTTTTTTTTTTTTTTTTACCAATTACAGGTTTTCTCATTCTAAGATTAAGGCCCTTTAAATAACTTTACAATTTATTAATTAAGTTAATTGGATTTGAAGAATTATAGCCTTTTCTTATCCCATTGGAACATCCACCCTTCAACCAAAACAAAAAAATTAGATCAAATTTAAGATTTTTAGTTCGTTCAAGTAGTTTCAACAAAAAACAAATGATTAATACCCACTTACTTGTAACAAAGTTGCTTACACCTAGTGCACTACGCTACTATTGGGGAGGGGGGTGAATAAATGCTTCAATGCAGAGTGATGTATGTAGAGAAATTTGTCTCGATAATATTTAAAGCAAAGATCTTCTTTTTGTAAAAAGAAATTTGAAGAAAATCTTTTTGATAAATGAAATCGTCCATAGGAAAAAAAAAAGGGTTTTCACAGTAATTTAGAAGTATTAGTATGTTTAATTTAGAGTATGCAAACAAATATTTTTACAGTTTACTGTGTTTTTTCATCTTTTATTTTCTAAATGTTATAGATGTATTTCAAAAATTGTTCCGCTTTTTATGCCTCTGTTTGCAGGTCAGTAGAAATAAGTAAGCAGTAGCTTTTCTATTGGTGAAAGAATGCAGAAGTAGATAGGGGGAAATCTATAAAACAGGATTGAGGAAAATGAGGTTCATAAAACTCAGTCTCCACCTCCTGAAAAAAATGAACATAACCTAAAAATTATGACTGAAAATGAAATCTAGAGATAGGTTTGAAAAAATAAAATCTGAATAATAATAATAAAAAAAACTTAACTGTAAAAAAATACTGGTTGAACTTGTTTAACTAATATGAATAACCTCTTTTTAAAGGGAGACAACATCAAATTACAAAAAAGGTACCTTATTGAATTGGCCTGAAGAGCTTTTACTTTGGAAGCAAAAGCACTAAGTTAAGTTCAGCTAATTTAAAAGTTTTCTGAAGCAAGTATCAAAGGATGGAGCTTCAGTCGAAGCAAATTGAAAGAAAGAACCAGCATATATTGTTGAAGTGAAACGAATAGCAGTTGATAATTATTCTTAAAACCTTTTTTTGAATTGAGAAGTTTTTCAATGTTATTTTTGGAAAAAAGAATTCTGCTAAATTCCTTTTCTTACTTTCAGTATTATGGGAACAGATTTTTTTCCCAAACAGATTCAAACATGGTAAATTCTATATCAGTTAACAAACATCAAACTAGATTAACCTAATCCAAATTGAAGACATGTGAACCAAAGAGATTGGCTACGTTCACACTAAAGATCAGATTTTTTTTTTTACCCTAAAATGACTTAGGTGAGATTCCTCCATGACTGTGTGAACAGCTCAATTCCCATTGAGTCTGATTTTTTCCAATCTGATCTGGGCCGATCTGTTTGTGGTTTTAAATCCAATACAGGTCGGATCTTCTGGGAATCTGACTGCGGTCAGAAGAGCCAAGCGACCCTTTTGAAATTAGAATGATAATGCTGCCAGAGTGGGGGCAAAAAAAATAATAAAAGAAAAAAACATGGAGGACAGTGTAGACCAGGGGTAACCAATTAAAGATCAGTGGGGTCCGAATAAAGAAAATCATCAACCAGTAAAGGTCTAGAGACGTTTTAATCATAATCCATTACTTTAAACAGAATTTAACACTGAAATAAAATGAGGTTTTTATGCATCCATGTTATACGTTGACTTTTTAAATAAATACTATTAAAAAAAGTAGAAATTTTTTCCATTTTAAAATCTAAAGTGAACGTAGCCTTAATGACTCAGAGAACTATTTTATACGCAGGCTGAGTGAAGCTTTTCACTATTGTTTATAAAATCCTGACTCTGAGGAGGTTTGTTGTGTTGCTCTTTGTTTGGACTTTTTAAAACCTGATGGCAGAACTTACTGACGTTCAGCTTCGAAAGGAGGCAGAGACATGACTCAATAAGTGGAAAATACAAAATACATGTTTGCTAAAGGAATGCCTGCAGAAAGTTGCTTTTTTCGTTAAACTTTTGTAACAAAAATTGAGCAGCGTCAGATGCTCTGAGTCCATCTGACGTAAAATCTACGATATTTTAAGCATTTTCGTTTTTTCCAGCTTTACCTGTTGAGCGAGCTGTTCCTCTGAGGCAGTCGAGGTGTGTTCTGATCATCCCCTCCTCCCTGGCCGGGTGGGATAGGAGGAGGGCCCGGCCGTCCCGGTGGCAGAGGGGGCACCCCGCCTCCGGATGAGGAGCGACCGGATGAGGAAGGCGAGGAAGAGGGTTTGGAGTTGACAGATGGGGGCGGAGGGGGCATGTCGCGGGGCATCGACGGTCGATTACCTCCAGGAGCTGGTGGTGGAGGAGGTCGGTCGTCAGGAAGCGGGGGCCTCCCTCCTGGAGCTGGAGGTAATGGAGGTCGGCTGCTGTTTGAAGGCGGGGGAGGAGGCGCGGAGAAGTTCGACCGAGGCCCAGAGGAGCCCCCTGGTGGGGGAGGAAAGGCTGCGTGTCTCGCTGGAGGTACGCTGGGTGGCGACGGTGCGCTGCCATGACCGGGCCTTGGTCCTCCAGGTAGAGATGGTGGAGGGGGGCCCCCACGAGACGAGTGGCTCTGGGGTGGTCTGGGTGTGCTGGGTACCGGAGGAGGGGGTCCACCTGGAGTGTCTTGTCTGGATGAGAAACTTGGACGGCCTTTGGGGAGATCAGGGGCCCCGCCACGAGGAACAGGAGGAGCACCTGGCAGTTTGGGGGGTCCAGACGGACTGCCGCCGCCACCGAAAGGGCTGGGTCCACCAGAACGGCCTCCTGGAGGGAGAAGAGGTCCTCGACTGGGTCCAGAGTCTAAGACGGAAAACAATTTTTTAATCTTTAGAGCCTTTGATGACCTTCCTCTCTAATCCTTAATGTTTTTTCCATCTTTATTCTTACCGTTGTCTCTGTTTGCTGCAGACCTCAGTTTGGGCATCCCTCCTGCAAACAGGCCCCCTAAACCAGCAGGAGACCCGCCGCCGAATCCTCCACCACCTCCTCCTCCTCCTCCACCACCTCCTTTTGGCTCTGAGAAAAAAGAAAAACTACTGTAAGCACTGATGGTAACATCTGTTTCTACCTGGACACACAGGCTAGAAAATGTCCACTAGATTCTGGCAATGGTAGCAGTTATTCCTGGTGCCTAATCGTAGGTGATACTTATCAAGTGTTTGTTTTTTTTTTCTAAATAAGTAAAATGAAGCTATTAAAGGATTTTTATTTTTTTATTTATCAAAATAATGTTTTCCATTATGTTTAAATTTGAAAAATGTTGAAATATTTTCTTTATATTCCTATAAAAGGAACAAAGGGACAAATGAAAGGAAAGTAAAGGAAAGGAAATTAAAGTAAATTTTACATTTTAGAGGTTATTTTCATATTATATCTCTATAAAAAAAAAACTTTGATCATAAAATAAGATAATATAGACCAAGCATCCTATTTTCTATTGTTAATATACAAGAAAAGCTCCATTTACTGACAACTGAGCAAAACCACAAAAATAACACATAATATATGATGTGGGATGCAACCAAAGTGAGTTGCTAGTATATAATTTTTTAAAATATACTTTCAATGAATAAGAATGAGCATCTTTTCCAAGACGAAAAAATAACTCTCCTCCGATGGCGAAGAACAGATTTGTGCAAACTACTAGGACTGAAACAATTAATCGGATTAATCGTGATTATTCGATTATTTAAATAATTGCCAACTAATTTAGTAAAGGATGAATCGTTAAATGCAGTATAGAGACTTTAAAACATGCCGTTAGCAGACAGATCGACCCAACTTGAGCAGCAATCAAGCCAAATTGGAAAAAATATGTTAAAACTTTGCTTTTAAGATAAAAAATAATATTTTTCTTCTGTCAATATGTTCTATCCAGAACTCCTCAAGGGGAAATGTTTCAGTTTCACCTAGTTTAATTTCATAAAAAGTCTAATTTAAGAAACCTTTTGCTATCCGAGTATTGATCGATTTATCGGGAAAAAAATCGACAGAATAGTTAACAGCTCTACAAAACAACTAATTTATACCTCAAGCAACAAGCAGCAACATAATCCTATTCCAAGTATCTTATTCGTGTTTGAAAGTGTTTGGCATTAAAGTCATGGACTAGACTCCCCTCCTGATCGCTGTTCACACTGAATAAAGAATTAAGAAGAGGAGCAAATTCTTCTTCACATTTACAGAATTTCTTTTTTTAACAATTTTTTTTTTGTTTTAATTTTTGGGCAATGGTGGCCTTTACAGACGAAGACGTGCAGAAAAGGTTTCCAGGTGGAGATTTAAGCCTGGAGAACTTTTGTGTAGATGTCTAATGAGTATGTGTTACAACCCTAATGTTCAGACAGGCATCCCTCAAAAATAAGAAAACTATGCAAACAGTAGGGGTGAGTATTGACTTGGGTGTAGCGATATAATACATGTCACAATACTTGGGTCACGATATGATATTAAGGGTGCTCCGATCAGGATTTTTGGGGCCGATCACCGATTGCTGAAAGCAGTATTGGTTGATACCGATCACCGATCACCAGTAACCGATCACTGGGTCTATCTGAAGCCTTCTATTTATTATGTAATATATTCAATTTTAATAGTCTTATCAAAAATGTATAGGTATTAAAATTAACAGAAGATAATGTATTGAATTGTCAACTGTATACTTTTATTAACAGGAAACGTTCAACATTTGACTTCCTTAGAAACATCTTAAACAGCTTAGAGCTTAACAAATAAGCCTTACTTCTAAATAATGTACAAAAAATCTGGCATTGTTAATTTACACAAATTTAAAGTGCAGAGCA